TGGAAACCAATTTGACAATAAATTTCATATTAAAAAAATAACATAAAATAAAATAAAAAAGAGAAAGGCATAATAGAATGAAAAACATGGAGAAGAGATTTTATAAAATGTGAAGTGCTGTTTTCTCTAATGAACCCTACATGTTCTAGAGGCTCAGTAGAGGGTCTATGAAGTTTCAGCCAAACACAGAACTAAAATCTACAAAAGCTTTAGCAACACAGGCTGCTGTATCCATGGAAACAATGCAGAACTCTTGAGATACAGGGAGCTTTCCAACTGAATACATTAATGAGTATGCATTTAACACTTCACAATCTTGGCCTTGGATTGTCAGGTTAGCAACAGTGGTGATCATAAAGTTGAGAAAGAAAGATAATGTCTAGGACTGATTAGGGTTGGGACAAACTGGATTGTCTCACAGGCTGCAGATAAGAAGAAACAGTTTTGATTTGATCGGGTGATATGGGTCAAAAGCCTTAAATATATGCATATCCTTTGATTAAGCAACTCCACTCCTAGGAATGGATCCTGAGGAAATGATCAAACAAATGCACATTGGTGTATGCGTTTATGAACGTTCACACTGTTAATGGTAATACTAATAGCAAATCCTCAAATGTTAATGCTACTAGAAAAATCTTAGAAACAATGCAAAAGTCCAAAGACAGGGATTTGTTTAAATAGCTTATGATGTATGCAGCCATTAAATTATGATGTAAATATATTTACTGACATAAATGTCCATGCTAGGGGCGCCTGGGTGGCGCAGTCGGTTAAGCGTCCGACTTCAGCCAGGTCACGATCTCGCGGTCCGTGAGTTCGAGCCCCGCGTCGGGCTCTGGGCTGATGGCTCAGAGCCTGGAGCCTGTTTCCCATTCTGTGTCTCCCTCTCTCTCTGCCCCTCCCCCGTTCATGCTCTGTCTCTCTCTGTCCCAAAAATAAATAAACGTTGAAAAAAAAAATTTAAAAAATAAATGTCCATGCTAGATTACAGTTAAAAATCACTTTACAAGAATCCCTGTAGCGTTGCCCCTTTTTTGTTAAAAAATATATATACATAATGCCCAGCAAGAGATCTTGGAAGGACATCCCTCGAAGTGTGAACAACTTTCTTTTGCCCATTTCCCATTTTCTCTGTACTACGTTGTATACTTTTTTAAAGGAAAGAAATAAAACCTCATACATTCGTCAAAGCTTAGAATTTTCTCCCAATTAAAAGAAAAAACCCCCCGAGTGATCATTTAACTGCAAATGAGGTCCCCAGGCGCTACCTACCTTATATGCAAGCATGACAGCATGGCAGTTGTGCCGCCGCCAAATACCCATACAGTAAAAAACACAATCAGAAGCGTGGTGCTGAACATCATCTGGCGTGCGTAAGTTGCAGTATCCCGAATGGCCAAAGCAAATGCCATTGCGCCGCGGAGGCCTAGAAGGGAACGGAAGAGGTCTTTTCCTTCGATAACTCATTACCAACGCGAGCTTCATAAATTCAGAGAAATAAAGCACATTCTGAGAACTCGGAAGCACGTGAACAACTACATGAACATACGAAGCATACACAGATAAAGAGAATTAGTAGATGATACTGACATGCCCTGACCTTTTAATAATAGTTAACATTTTATTTTTAAGTTCACATATACTAAAATCTACTCTTTTCTGGTGTACAGTCCCATGCGCTTTGATGAGGCATCAAAGTGTGTGGCCACGACCACGACTAAGACACAGTACAGTGTCGTCGCCCTCACCAACCCCCTCCCCGAATTCCTTGGGGCCACACAGTTTTAGCCCAACCTCTCTGTCACCCTGCCAAACCCCTGCCAACCCCCGAGCTATTTCTCCATCACTACGCTTTTGTCTTTTTTGAGAATGTAACCTTTTGAGACTGGCTTCTTTCACGCTGCACGATGCCCTGAGGGTTCGTCCATGTTGTGCTTATCCACAGTTGGGTGTTTCAGTGCTGAGGAGCACTCCGTGGCCTCACGGACATCCTACAGTTTGCCTATTCATTCACCCACTGGGCTATTTCCAGATTTTGGCAATTGTGAATACAGCTGTCGTAAATACATAACAGGTTTTTGTGTGAAAATACATTAATCTTTATCTTCTCCACTACATGTGCTGTATTTCTGAACCAGGAATTTGAAACCAGAAAAACATTCTCACAGAAGGGAATCGGACACTATAAAAAGAATTTTCTATTGGAGGTTGCGACTTCCACATTTCAGGGAGTCTCATCTTACTAGCACATCATTTCCATTTAAAATCAAGTTGGCATATGCGTGGTGAGTGGCTTCTTGGAGTAGGCTAAGAGAGGGAAAGTTACAACTTACCAGCAAACATCATCATGTGCTGAAAATTTGATCCAATCTTACTTCTTCTACCCAAATTAAGTAAGAGGGACAAGGGGTAAATATTAGCAGCTCTTCCCAAGAAAATAGCAACCTAAAATTAATAGGTTAAGGCAAATTTCTTTTTTACCATTAATGCTATTTAGACTACACATTCAAGATGGTGAAAGACCATCTTCAGAAGTTCGGTCTCCAATGGTGGGAGCCAGGTTTCTCACTATTGGAATCGGAGTTCACAGATCAGTCAAGAGGAGGCGGCCAGGATGATGCACATGATAACGGATTAGAGTTGGAGACATCAGTATGAACTTATGTTTAGCTTAACAGACATACGGATGGTTACATATGTATTTGTAGATATACGCACATATAGCAGCTAGCATATACATACATATTCCCTCCCTGTGTCAGCTGAGAGGGCCTAGAAGCCAGGATACCTCAATGGCACTGAATACACTACAGCCCAGATCCTGATATCTAATACCATTCCCCAATAAGAGGAGCCAGGGATCCTTGGAAAAATGGCTGATTCAAGGCTAGCGCAGAAAATATACAGGAAGAGTCTGAAGCATCTTCCCTAGGAAGTAAGGAAGTGTTCAAGGGGTGCCTGGGTGGCTCAGTCGGTTAAGCATCCGACTATTGATCTCAGCTCAGGGCTTGATCTCAGGGTTGTGAGTTCAAGC